AACTTTTAAATATCATATTATATTTGTGAATTCAATATAATAATAACCCTTATTTGTTGGGTTTAGATTTTACGGACAAATTCTTGGAAAGATTATCATGTAGAATTTTTATTAGGTATTTTTATCGCTGAAATTGATTCATCATTAATTTGAATTACTTTTCTGGTTAACCATTTTAAAAGCCCTCCTTATTTGGATATGTTCATTAATACTAAATTTTGGTTATAATTATGACTCAAACTAATAGTACAAATACTATGTCTCTGACTTAGTAAATACTTTAGAGTTAATAATTTTAATGATTTAGGATATAATGTGAGTGTAAATTATAATTCACCTAACGTGTATAGGTAGCCTCTTTGTCATGTCTAAGATGTTTAAATGAGGTAAATAGTGGGTATTTATACATTTCTATTAATTTGGCACATAAAAATTGGTAAATATCATTAAAATTGAAGAAACTCTTTTTCTCAGTATAATTCTCATTCTGAGTACAATTTTATTACTCAATAGGATTGAAAAATTTATTAATTTCAGATATACACAAAAAACCTATGTTGGCCTCTATGGTGATTTGTGAATCTGTTGCATTTAATATTGTTAGATACTTTTAAAGTTATTTGAAAAATTAAGCATTTTGAATTTTTCATTCTGTGTTCCCTTGCCTTTTAACAGTAAAAGACTGAAGGAAAAGATGTAGGAAAAAGAAGTTCTCATTTTAAACTTCTAGTGAATTTGGTAAGGGTATGATGATGCCAAATGAAAAATTATTTAGGACAAAAGACACATAATGGCAGGACCTAACACAACATTAGACTTCTTCCCTCAAAGTTTTTCAAAAACTTCAAGGGAAAAAGGCTACTTCACAGACTGACATGTACACTCAGTTGGAGCCAAGGTTTATAGGCCTTTTGTATTGTCTGATGTTGAAAATCTCAAGTTGATTCTCCAGTTAAAACACACACACACACACACACACACACACACACACACACACACACACACACATATACACACATACACACAAACCTGGAAAACGAAAAGGAAAATTTTTGTTCTGCAAATGTGTTCCTCTCTGATGCAAACAGAAATCCAGCAGAGATGAGTCTTTTGGAAAGAGACAAGGAGATTATGAATTTGCTAAAAAAAAAAAAAAACCAAACCAAACCAAAACAAAACACTTGCTTCTTCTAAATATGAGTTTATAAGCTCCGAGAAGTCTTTTTTGTAAGAAAATTCCCAAACCCCAAGATATTCATAAACATTAACTCAAAACACTAAAATACAATTTTGGAAAAGAAGAAGAGTATAAAGAATCCTAATTTTTTTTAAGTGACATAATAAAAAGATCTAGTAGTTAGCTGGTTCTTTCATTTCAGATAATCTATTCACTTTTTAAAAACAGATTTTGTTTAGAAACATTCAACCTTAAAAAAAATTCTACAAATGTGTTATTAATAAAACTCCAAGTCTCAAAATGGAAGTAATACATTTCCTTCAAGTATACTGATGTAAACAGTTGCAACGTTCTGTGAATTACGAAATAAAGTTTTAGAATTCACACTATAAACTTTAGAGGAAATAGAAATAGAAACACTAATCTGAGAAACAAATTTTTAATAAGCAACAGTAATGCTACTAATAGTTTTTGTTTTTTTCTAATAATGTAGTGAAGATGATCAAATTACAGTAGATATTTATATATGCCGTTCTATTTTATAACATGAATGAATTCTTAACAACTCTATAAGGTAGGTAGTAAATCTATCCTCCTTAATATACAATAAGCAAAACTTGGTGCAAACGGAACCTAATGTAGCCATTTTTTTTGTTGTTGATATTTAATGACACCTCTACATGTGATAATTGGTTTATTGACTAATACAAATGAATACTAGTTCTTTAATATGGCTTGTAAAAACACACAGGTTAAATGGCAGACTTCATTGTCAGTTCTCTTCAAAAGTTAATTTGCCCTTCATATAGGAAAAAGATAACTCTTAAAAAGGTATTTCTTACTTTTATTTTAAGCATTTCTTATGATAGCCGCATAACCCCCTTTGATGGAAAAGAAGTATGATCTTTAAAATTTTTTTCTTTTAGGAAATATCTTCCATGTCAATTAAAGAAATGCAAGTCTAAAATAATTTTATGAATGAGTTTGCTTTGTCATATAATTCTTTTGTCCGGATTTAGAGCTCAAATAAGGACTGGTCATATACTACTAAGAAAAGATACTAAAAATGTGGAAACCTAAATAACCACTGACAGATGAATGGATTAAAAAAACTTGTGATATAGGGCTCGGGGCTGTAGCTTATGCCTTTAATCTCAGCACTTCAGGAGACTGAGGCAGAAGGATTGCCTAAGCTCAAGACTTCGAGATCAGCATGGACAACATAATGAGACCTCATCTCTACAAAAAATTTAAAAAAACTAATCAGGCTATGGTGCCCACACTTATAGTCCCAGCTACTCAGGGGGCTGAGGTGGGAGAACCATTTGAGCCCAGGAGGTCAAGGCTGCAGTGAGCTGTGATTTTGCCACTGCACTCCAGCCTGGGTGACACAGTAAGATCTTGATCAAAACAAACAAACAAACAAACAAAGAAACAAAAAAGAGTGGCATATACATACAACAAAGTACCATTTAGCCTTAAAAAAGAAGAAAATTCTGTAATATGGAGAAGATGAATGAATTTTGAGGCCATGGTGCTAAGTCAAATAAAACGGTCATAGAAAGACAAATATTGCATGGTTCTACTTAAATAAGATATCTAAAATATCCAAATTTATAGAATAAAAGAGTGGAATGGTACCAGGGGATAGGGAGAGAGGGAAATAGGAAGAGACTAAACATGACATAGTTTCAAAGACAAGCAAGATGAAGAAGTTCTAAAGATCTGTTGTATGACATTACATATCTACAGTCAATGATAATATATTGCAGACCTAAAATTTTAAGAAAATAAATCTCATGTTAAGTGTTTTTATCAAAATAAATAAATATTTTAAATAAGAAAAGATGATAAAAATGATATACATACAAGAAGTCTTGATTTTATTTCAAATCTATGTTCTTTCATGATAGCAACCTTTGTAAGCATATAAAAAAGTGGTTCCTTTGCTACATAACTACCTTTGAAATAGATTACTTAAAATAAATTATTTGTGGGCACATATGGAAATAGGAATTTTCTAAGAACATATTATTCCCTGAAAAGTCAACTGACTCATTTGGCTTAGAATTTTCTCTTCAGAAGGTCAGGCACCTATCAGAAGTTTGTTTGGATGACAATGCTTTTAAAAACTTCCTGGGGTGAGCTGCACAAAGATTTAATCCCACACAAAATACTACTGTGAATGGTTAATTTACTTGGAAACGTTAATTAGCAATTTTTGCTCTGTTGACAAATTCACCTTTGTTAGGACCTAATGGTAGCCATTGAAAGGTGGGGATTTTCTTTATATCATACCAAATTTAACTTCAAGTTAAGAACAAAGGACTAAGGTGGTGTTGTGAGCTTTTAGTATACTACTCAAACTGCCAACTACAGGATAATATCTTTTTTTTTTTTTTAGTTGGAGTCTCACTCTGTCACCCAGACTGGAGTGTAGTGGCCACTCCTGGCCACCGCAGCCTCGACCTGCTGAGCTCTGGCGATCCTTCCGCTTAACCTTCCAAGTAGCTGGAACTACAGGTGCACGCTACCATGCCCGGCTAATTTTTGATTTATTGTAGAAATGAGGTCTCGCCAAGTTGCCCAGCCGGGTCTCGAGCCCGCAGGCTCAGGCAATCCACTCACCTCAGTCTCCCAAAATGCAGGATTACAGGCTGAGCCACCGAGTCTGGCTGCAGGATATTTTATGTTTACTATTTATTTGCCATTTTGAACACTAACTAGTGAAGTTTAGATATTGTATCAAATTTCCTCATGCATACTATGTTTTATTTATGTTTGCTAAGTTACATTATATCACACATGAAATATGTGTTTATATGTTTACATATGTATACTTAAAATATTTTATTATATATAGCACACAGTAAATATATACATAAAACATACTAGCTGGGCTCAGTGGCTCAGCCTGTAATCCCGCGCCTTTGGGAGGCTGAGGTGAGTGGATT